AAAAGATGAGGAGTTGAGAGACAGGGAGACATGGTTGCTTGAGAGAAGTGAAACGAAGTGGATATGTCACATGTTTCTCAAAAGTCATGGGATGTAGCCGGGCGGTGGTGGCGCACGCCTTTAGTCCCAGCACTCGGGAGGCAGAGCTGGGTGGATCTCTATGAGTTTGAGGCCAGCCTGGTCTGCAGAGCAAGTTCCAGGACAGGCACCAACACTACACAGAGAAACCCTGTCTCAGGGAAAAAAAAAAAAAAAAAGTCATGGGATGTACAACACGGAGCCCTAATGTAAACTCTGGACTTTGTGAAGTAAGGAAATGTCAAGTGTGGGCTCATCAGTTGTAGCACATGAACTGTGTAGTCAGTCCTTTGTAGGATTCTGTTTAGGGGGAGTGGCTTTGTGTCAGGGAAGAATGTGAAGACTTTTCCATCAACTTTGCCATGAATTTAAAATGGCTTTAAATAGTTTGGTTTTTTTTTAAGTGACAAATACTGGAGACAGCTAACACAGATACCCTTGTGTGGGAAATAGGAGTTTCAACAGAAGCATCAAAGAAAGAGGCTGGAGAAACACCAAAAGTTACAGTTGAAGAAAACTGTCCTAAGATCACTGAAGCCATGAATTACATCTGTGATTAGTTTTTGTCAACACACTAGGGTCCCCTGGGAAGAGGAGTTGCCTCCATCAGACTGACTTGTGGGCATCATCTATGGGGCATTTTCTTGATTGCTGGTTGATATGGGAGGGCCCAGACCACTGAGGGCAACATTATCCCCAGGGCCCCTGGGCCTAATTTGTATAAGAAAGCTAGCCAATTAAGCCAATAAGCAATTGTCCTCTACGGTGTCTGCTTGAGTTCCTGCCTTCAGGTTCCTGCTTCTCTTCCTGCCCTGACTCCTCCAGATGATGAACTGTAAAATGTAAGCTGAAATCAACCCCTTCCTCCTAAGTTACCTTTGGTCATGGGGTGTTATCACAGCAACAGAAAGCAAAGTAGATCCCATACTTGGTAAGCTGAACCCCAGATGACCAATGTCAAAACATCCTGAGACAGACATAGTGTCTGAAACCAGCGCTTGCAAGGCTGAGGCCGGGGGATCCCTGTGGGTTTGGGATCAGCCTAGACTGTCCACAGATACTGGCAACACAATTTATGTAATGTTTGGACAAAAAAAAAAAAAAAAAAAAAAAAAAAAAAACGGGCTGGAGAGATGGCTCAGAGGTTAAGAGCACTGGCTGCACTTCCAGAGGTCCTGAGTTCAATTCCCAGCAACCACATGATGGCTCACAACCATCTGTAATGAGCTATGGTGCCCTCTTCTAGCCTGCAGGCATACATGCAGACAGAACACTGTATATATAATAAATAAATAAATCTTTAAAAAAAAATCTGTGAAGAAGTAATGTGAATAACAGGGGCTGGAGAGATGGCTCAGCAGTTAAGAGCATTGGCTGCTCTTCCAGAGGTCCTGAGTTTGATTCCCAGCACCCACATGAAAGCTCACAACCATCTATAACTCCAGTTTCAGGGAATCTGATGCCCTCTTCTGGCCTCTGTGGACACCAGACATGCACATGGTACACAGACATACATGCAGCCAAAGATCCATACACACAAAATAGAAAACACACACACACACACACACATACACACATATCAGAGTCTGAAAAAGCATCTAGGTTTGATTATGAATTTGCCTGAAGTAAAAAAAAAAAAAAAAGTAAAAAAGACAGCCGTCCACTCCCCAACAAGAGAGTCTTCACATAGTGTTGAACACCTGTCGTCTTAGCAATTGGGAGGCAGAAGCAGGAAGATCGCTGACCAGTTCCCACCTGATCTGCATAGAGACTTCCAGGCCCACCAGAGCAACATAGTGATACCTGGTGAAAAACAAAAAAAACCAAACCAGGTCCAGAGAGATGGCTCAGCAATTCAGAGCAGTCCCCAGCACCCCCACGGTGGCTCTCAATGCCTGTAACTCCAGGCCCAAGGGGTTCGACGCCCTCTTCCAGCCGCTGGGACTCTTGCACACAGTTTGTGCACTTACACTCACACAGGTTTACACACTTCACATTACAAATATTTTTTTAAGACATGAAGGGAATTACCCAGGAAGAGGGAAGCCAGCCAAGTTCCACTGTGAATGCTACGTAATCCCAAAGAAGTAGCGGAGGATAACTCATTTTTAAAAGGGCAAAGCTGAGGCCGGGCGGTGGTGGCACACGCCTTTAGTCCCAGCACTCGGGACGCAGAGGCAGGCGGATCTCTGTGAGTTCGAGGCCAGCCTGGTCTCCAAAGCGAGTTCCAGGAAAGGCGCAAAGCTACACAGAGAAACCCTGTCTCGAAAAAACCAAAAAAAAAAAAAAAAAAAAAAAAAGAGGCAAAGCTGAGAGGTTCACTTGCAACATAACAGAAGACATAAACATTGGGAAGCGATTACCACACAAGCCAAGCTACCATTACTCTGAGGACTAGGCTGAGGCTGCTCTTCAGCAGCAGCACATGAAGCATTGCTGCTGTCTAGCAAGATTCTCTGTGATGGTGTTTTAAAGACTTGTATAACTCATTACCTTTTGGGTTTGGTTTAAGCTGTATTTCTGTAGTGCTTAAACATAAACAGGCCATTAGAAACAGGCCAGAAATGGTTGATAAACCCACAAGTGGTGTGTTTCTGTACACCTAGGGTGTACACCTAGGTGCCTAGCCAGGGCGGACATTTGCTGAGTGCTTCGTTGAGTGAGTAAATGGATTTGAAAAAAACATTGTGACACACCCAGGTTGAGTCGGTGTCTGGGCTGCATCTGGTTGAACCTGCATCTGGGCTCCTCCATCCAGGTGCATCTGTTGGGCACCAGCAGCCAGCGTCATCCTGCCCTACCTCATGTGTCTCCCCGCAGGACCGACCTCCCAGAATCAAGAGTGCTGTGTCATCCTGGCTCCTGGTCCTGCCCTGCAGCTGCTTCTCCCATACTCCTTCTCTCACGGCCTTTCTGCTGTTTGCAGAGCATCCTTCTCCTTTACAGGTAAAACTCATATCCTTCGTCTCACCCATTGGCCCTTACTGAATGAAACACACTGTATTAGGATCTCATTTCCATTGAAAGCGTGCATGCGCACGCGTGTGTTTTGTGTGTGTGTGTGTGTGTGTGTGTGTGTGTGTGTGTAATGACAGAGTTTCATGTAGCCAAGCATGACCATGAACTCATGATTCTCTTGCCTCTACCTCCCTTGAGATGGGATTGCAGACATGCACCACCTCATCCTTGCAAGCCATTTAAATAGTAAACTCCTTATTCCCTCTCATCTGGTTGAGTCGATGTTCTCACCAAACTTTTCCCGACAATTGCATCTGGTGCACAAGATTAAAATCTCCTCCCTCCTGAGGCTCTGGGTCTTTTACTACATCCTCTAGACCATCGGTTCTCAACCTGTGGGTTGAGACACCTTTGGGGGTTTGTTCGAAGACACATATTAACAATACAATTCATGACAGTAGCAAAAGTTATGGAGTAGCAACGAAAATAATGTTATGGTTGGGGGGTCACCACAACATGAGGGACTCTATTAAAGGGCTGCAGCGTTGGGAAAGCTGAGAACCACTGCTCTAGACCCTTTCACTACTATTATCTTTTCACTCTGACCAGCCTCAAAACTGTTGGACTGCTTGGTGGAGCCTTGCCCTCCACTCTAACTCATACCACGTTTTCCTGAAATTGGAGGGAACAATGTATGCAGGGTTCCTCTCCAAGTCTTCCTGGGACTATTCAGGTGAGAATCTGGGTTCTGTCCTCACAATCTCCCGCCTTCCCCGCACCTCCTGTTTCACAAAAATGCCAGGCCCTTAGTCCCTCCATTCTCCCCACCCATGGCCTTCCAGGCTCTCCTTTCCCAACACCCCACCCTAGATCTCAGGGCAGACCTATGCCCTTCTCAGCCTTCCCTCCTACTGGGACTGTGGTAGATTCATGGCTACCTGTCAGGCCTTGTCTTCATACTCAGCTACTTCAGGTCCCTTTCAAGCCCCATGTCATCTCAACCTTTGGTCCACTGAGAAAATAAACTCCATGAGGCCAGAGCTCTAACCCTAGCCGCAAATGACACCTTTTCCCCACCAGCCCTGCACTCGGCTGGCTCCCACCCCGACAGAACTGGTCCCTTTTGCAATCCTCTCTCCCATGCTCTCCTCTCAGCTACAGCTGTGAGCTCTGGAAATACGCACGTGTTTAGAGACTCTGTTGCTTCCTCGGGTAACGTGCTGGTTCTCATCCTCTGTTGGCTCACGGGTCTACTTAGCAGATCCTGAAGGAACCCTAGCCGCTCATTTCTCCCTCTCTGCCAGAAGATGAATAGCCCTCTCTCCGTCCCCAACTGCTCTCACTCAGAACAAACCTCACTTTGGCTGTTTCCCAATGCTCCTACCGACCTCACTGGCGGCCTCCTCATCCCCAAACCAAGGGGACTCATTTTTCAGCCCTTTAGTGCTGGCCCTCTGTGCTCATCCATGGTTTCTGTAGCACCACACTGGAAGTTCACTTGAGAGCTAGCAGACTTCTGTCCTCTCTCCGTGTGTCGCTCTTCCTCTGACTGGCCTTTACTGCAGGCATCTTCCAGCCTTCCCCCGGTGCTGCTCTCCTCACACTGTGTAATCATGCTGGGCAGGCCCATCTACACTTCTGATTGCAACTGTGACCAGTGTGCTGCTCTCTGTAGCCCACTTTCAGGAAAGTTCCATTAGGGTCTCCCACATACAAACCGATCATATAACTCTCTTGACATCTTAGCAAATCTTTCCAGTCCCCCAAACAATTTTTTTTCCAGTTCACTGTCTTCCTTAATGCCACTGTATCTTTTATCCCCAAACCAGTTACCAGGTGTCCTTAACTCAACGTCCCGAGCATCAAACACCCTCCCTCTCGGAGATCTACTGCCCTGACCGCACTTCAGACCAGGTTTCAGTCCCCTCTTGTCCAGACTGTCTCCTCTTTAAATTGTGTTTTCTGTGCTAGCTTTGACAGCACATGTACTGCCCTTGAAGCGATGCGGAAGAGCTGAGCATGGTCCCTGCGCAAGAGTGACATGCTAAGTTGTGAAGCATTCCATCCTTGAACCAGACCAGTGACTCACTGCAGTGAACATTTGCAAGTGAAGCTGACTGGACAAAAGGGTAGACTGTGGGACACACTGCGGCTCCCAAGGCCACCAGGACGGAGGAAAAGGTGTTGGAGAGGTGGGAAAGATGGAGGAGCACAGAGGGTTTTTTGTTTTTCATTTTGTTTTCGTTTGCTTGCTTGCTTGTTTTGGTTTGGGTTTTTTGTTTTGTTTTGTTTTGTTTTGTTTTTCGAGACAGGGTTTCTCTGTGTAGCTTTGCGCCGTTCCTGGATCTCGCTCTGTAGACCAGGCTGGCCGCGAACTCACAAAGATCCGCCTGCCTCTGCCTCCCGAGTGCTGGGATTAAAGGCGTGCGCTACCACCGCCCGGCTTGGTTTGGGTTTTTTTAAATTTTTCTCTTGGGGGGCACTGAAGAGGGGAGGGGAGGATGTGGAGGGACTGGGAGGTGAGTGGAATTAGGGTGCATCCAAATTAGGGTGCAATCCCAAAGACTCAATAAAGGAATTATATTTTTAAAATTTACATCTATCTATTTATTTAGGGGGCATGTGCCACAGTGCACATGTGGAGGTCACAAGACAACTTCGGGGAGTTGGTTCTCTCCTACTACGTCAGTCCCAGGGATCCAACTCAGGTCATCAGGTTTGACTGCAGACGCCTTTACGCAGAGCCATCTCTCAAGTCAAAACCTGTCTTCTTTTTAAATTTTTATTTTTATTATTTTTTAAAACTTATTTATTTTATGTGCATTTGTGTTTTGTGTATGTCTGTGTGGGGCTGTCAGACCCCCTAGAACCTACAGACAGTTATGAGCTGCCATGTGGGTGCCAGGAATTGAACCCAGGTCCTCTGAAGAGCAGCCAGTGCTCTTAATCACTGAGCCATCTCTCCAGCCTCCCAAACTATCTCCTTTTGTTCCATTCATGATCACCACAACCAAAGTAACCTCCCTGAAATGTGAGCCCTGTTTAAAATACTTGTGTGAACCAGACATGGTGGCTGTGGTGGCTTGAGGTGTCCCCTAGAAGTCTTAGGTATTTGAGTACTTGGTCACCAGTAGGCAGCTGTATGGAGAGGATTAGGGGGTGTTGAAGGTTTCGAAAAATTCATGCCATTCCTATTGAGTTCTGTGTCCAGCTTGCAGTTCAAGCCCTTAGATACTGCTCTGGACCTGCCACCTGCTGTTTCTGCCCATCCTCATGTGCTCTACCCTCTGGAACCAGAAGCCCCAAATAAACTCTCTCTTCTATAAGTTGTCTTGATCCCACTGTTTTATCACAGCAACAGGAAAGTAACTAATGCAGTGGTAAACACCTATAATCCCAGCACTTAGGAGCTGAGGTAGGAAGACTGCTTTGAGTTCAGTCTAGCTCTGGCTACACACCAGGACCCTGTCTCAAAAACAAGAAGTTCTTGCCGGGGGTGGTAGTACACACCTTTAATTTCTGTACTTGGGAGGCAGAGGCGAGTGGATCTCTGAGTTCCAGGTCAGCCTGATCCACATAGAGAGATCCAGGCCAGCCAGGGATACTCAGGTGGATGCTGGTCTACCTGCCCCCAGTAATTGAGCAATCTTCCCCTGTTCTTATGTCTGAGTTTTTTCAGACCCTGTTAACCTCAGGTTCTTATCTGACCCCTCCACACCTCACACTCCACGCTTCAACTCCCCAGCACTGCATCCAGTCTCTCAGGGATATGACCTACCCACCAGTCCCTCAAGCTGCCTTCTCTCCCACTGACTGACTCTTGTTCCCATACAATAAAACTTCACCCTAATCCACTCATTCCACCAGAAGCCATATAAGGTGCCTCCCCTCAGAGCACCCACAAATACCTGGATTTAGCAGATTCTGCCATTTTTTGGTATGTTCATCTCCACATCCAGATGTACTCTTAGAGTCTCTGTGTGCCTGTTGCAATGTGCAGTCCACTGTGCAGTCCACAGCTTACACACATTCCCTAACCACCTTACCATTTCCTGCAAGGTGTAATGCTCATCTCGTCTGTGTGGACTTTCATTTTTTCCCCTTGTCTAAGTGTTGTTCTAGAGAGAGGTAATCTGACTCCTCCAAGTCCCCCCAGGCACACAAGGTCCTGAGTGCGGAATCAAGGCTGTGCTGCCAGGAGTACACACAGGCTGCCACTGCCACTGTCTCCTTCGCCTTGTCACAGAACCCCAGCTTTATTTGGGTTGGCAACATGCCCAATTAATGTTCCCAGCCTCTTTCAGCGATACATGCCAGGTGACTCAGTTCTGTGGCATTTCCAGGCGGCTTCAAATGGCTTATAGACTAAGTGACTGGAGCATTAGCAACCACCTTGGACCAAGAGATATTTAATTAATTATTGGGTTTTCCTCTTTTTAATTTTCTTCCTTCCTCCTCTCCTTCCCCCTCCCTCCCTTCTTCCCTTTCTCTTCCTTCCTTCCTTCCTTCCTTCCTTCCTTCCTTTCCTTTCCTTTCCTCCCTCCCCCTCTCTCTTTCTTTCTTTTCTCTTTTTACATGCTCTCACTATGTATCCCTGGCTGGTCTGGAACTTGCTATATAGACCAGGCTAGTGCCAAACTCACAGAGATCCACCTTGCCTCTGCCTCCTGAGTGCTCAGATTAAAGTTCTGTGCCACCATGTCTGACTTTTAATTTTTTTTTTAAATTTTAATTTTATGTGCAAAGGTGTTTTGTCTGCATGTATGTATGTGCTGATATCACATGCATGCAGTGCCCACGGAGACCAGAAGAGGGCATTAGCTCTCCTGGAACAAGAGTTGCAGACGCACATGGATGCTGAGAATTGAACCCAGGTCCTCTACAAGAGAAGCCCATGCTTGTCGCTGCTGAGCCGTCCCTCCACCCCCATCCTGACCACTGTGAGGGAGTCTTGAGGAAGGCAGTGAGGACTGAAAGTGACAGTACAGACAGGACTTGCAGACAGACGTGGTGCCAGACTCCTACTGACACCATGGGCCATGCTCTGAAATTACCTTTTTTCATTCTTGAGACTAGATCTCCTCATGTAGCCTGGTGTGGCCTTGGTCTTCCAAGTGCTGAGATTACAGGCATGCACGGCACCACCAGGCCCACCTTTTTTTTTTTTTTTTTTTTAATGCTGTGGTAACAGAAACTGCCATTAAGTCACAGTGAGCACTAGGGTACCATGAATTTGCAGCCACTGATACAAAGGGTTGGGTTGTAGCCCACCCATGAGGCCCAGGGTCATGATTTAGGAGCAACAGCCAGCATGGGTGATATAAATTGTGTCTTTATTTGAACATCATTCCACCTGCACTGAAGCTCAAATCCGGCAGCAGCAGAAGGGGTCAGGACCAAAAGAAATGTTACCAAATTAGACGATGAACATCAAGGACACATTCGGACAGAACTTACTAATGGGGTGTAGACGACATCAATCTATCCTAACACACAGCACAGGTCCTTGGAGGGCTGTCAGAGTCCTAGGGAGGGCTGGCTGCTCCTGCTCACATCTCAGGAAAATTCCAGTCCCACCCAAAAGCTAGCTCTGAGCCAGGCAAGAACCCACAGAAGCCTCTTGTGCTAGAAGGAGCCCAGCCCCTCCAAAAAGAGGGTTTCCCTTTTTCACACCAGAGGCTGGAGAAGGGCTAGTCCCCTCTGTGCTCAAGTGGGACTCTTTAAAGGTCCTGGGCTCCTTACCCAGAGCTCCAGCTGCAAGCGGTCAACTTGGCTTTTGCAGGCCCCAGAAGGATGTCAATCTTCCCCACCTCCTCGTGCCCTTAGGAAGGCTTTCCTCCGTAGCTGTGGTCCTCTGAGGGAAGCCTTCTACTTGCCACAGCCCCAAGGACTGGTCTAGCCAATGCTTTGGACCAGAGACCGGACCACCTCGAGGTTATGACTGATCTCTCCACTCTCTGCCAGGAGCAAAGAAAGTCAGTAATACCAAACACCAGCATCCTTGTCCAGTCACAGCTAGTTGAGAACTTTCAGGGACCTGACACCAGGAAGCTCTTGGTTGGTGATCAGAAACGGAGATGTTGATCTTCATAGCCTATCCCTTCCCCCAAAGGCTAACACCAGCTCACCTGCCCTCACTGTTCCACATCAACTGTCAGGAGATCTGTCAGAGCAGCCCCTGAGTTCCCGGAGGAAGCTTCCATTCTCCCTGTCCCCACCTCTTCTAAGTCCCTCTACTGCCTCTCATCCTCCCCATGCCATCCTGGGGCTCCTGCAGACTTAAGCCCATCACCCTGAAACTCCACGATGCATCTCAAAGTGCTGGACAGTAGCTGGGTGGCTGGAGGGGGCATTGGAACACTGTTAAACTACTCCCAAAAAAGAATTAGTTTCCTACCTCCCCATCATCTGGATTACTCTACTGCTAACACAGCCTGACCTGCTAATTCCCTCTCTCTCTCTCTCTCTCTCTCTCTCTCTCTCTCTCTCTCTCTCTCTCTCTCACACACACACACACACACACACACACACACACACACACACACACACACCACTCCTCCACAAAGGAACAGGGATGACCACAGACCTCCAGTCACTTGGCCTCCAAGGGGTCAATTCTAGCCTGTCCACCAAAGCACAGGGGCCTCTCGGGCAGCAGGTGTCCTCAGGGGCCCAGACTCTTCAAGCACCCACATGGCTGCCCTCCTCACCCCACGCCCCAGCATTTCTTCTTCCCTCTCCTCCTGCCCACTCTCTTCTCTACATTTTATTCTTGTTCATTGCAAATTACACCTCCATCTCCCACTTCCTCTCCCACTTCCTGTCCCTCTTCATCCACCGCCCCCGCCCCCCGGGAAGCCCTGCTCCGGTTCTTCACCTCCCTTTCTCCATCACCGTGTGTGTCTCTCTAGACCCCTCCTTGAACTCGGCCCCACTGTCCCTGCTTCGCCATGACTGTCCGTCTCTCTTGGCTTCCCTGGCTCTGCTCCTGCTTCCCACTTGCCTAGTTCCCAGTCAGTGACCCACTCCCAGGCCCTCTCGTCACGACCTGGACCTTCTCTCCTCTGGTTT